ATGAGGACTCGAGGTGCCGAGAACAAGTTCATGTCATTTTATAGAAATTATATATATGTTCATTTTTTTCTTTATTTGATGATTTGATAAATGAATATATGTTCACAATATGATGTACTTCATGTTATAATGCATGGAACTAAGTGTCTTAGGAAAATTCTAAGTTTTCCTTGATTTTTCTTTTTAGACAAAAGAACCGTTTACATGACATTAATTTTCAACTCTATTTTGGACCTTTAATATTCTGAAATTATTCCTTTAGTTTATACAAAGCTGTAGAGCCTTTTATAAGCTTTCCAACGCCTTCTCATTTGCGCAAATCAGAGATCGGAGTAAGAAAATGTGGCCAGTATACCACCTGGATACCCTGCAGTCTTCGACCAGGTTACTGCACGCGAATGAGAATGGAAATTTTAGAAGTTGACTAAACTCTATCATTTTTTTTTCACGCGTCTTCACACCCTAATGACAACCATTCCCCCAGCTGTTAAGGGTTTAATCCCAAAATTAAACCTAATCAATCCAAAATCAATCATCTTAATTTTTATGCGTATTAAAGAGCCATTCACCACACTCTGAATTCACCTTTTCTCCCTCTCTCTTCCTCCTTATTTCTCACGTTCAAGAACATCAAAGAAAGCCTCCAACACCAGCCACCAAACCTCACTGCTTGATTTTTTGTTTGGATTCTTCATTCATTAAAGGCAAAATAAAGATTGTTTAGTTTGAATTTCTTTGAGGTTTTGGGTGATTGTTTTGATTATTTTTTTTATGGTTCTTTTTTTTTCTTGAGAGGAATATTCATGAGATGATGAATTGAGTATTAATATGTAATTGATATATATGGTTTCTAAAGATTTAACTTTATGATTATATTCAAGCATGTTATTTGTTTGTTTTGGTTTTCTTAGAATATGAGAAAGCATGATATAGGGATTTGTGGTTTTAATAATTGATGAAAATATTTTATTTAGAGTTTCTTGTATGATTTAGAAACATGTTATGATTAATTTATGATTATTTACATTATTGGGTCATATAATTATGTTAATCATTATTTATAGAAATGCAATTTTGGATGTGTTGAGTTGTGTATATGTTCATATATTTATGATTTTAAGTGTTAGATATATGTCATAGTGGTGCATATTAGATGGAGTATGGTTTATGCATGTTGAGGATGATGGGGTTGCATTTTTTTTTTTTTTTTTGTGATTAAATTCGGATTTAGGAGTTGTGGAAATTTCCAAAAAAAAATTGGCATGATTTTAGAATAGTGTTTGAGGGACCAAACGGACTCCGTTTTTAACAAATAAAGTATCGTTAGAAAGCTATAGATGTCTACTTTAATTTAAAATTAGTTTCAGATCATTTAGAGTTCTATTTGAATTGTTATGAGTTTTTAAAGGGATAAAGGTCAGGTTGCCAATTTTTTTGTTCAGTTTTGTAATTTTGTATAATTGATGGATTTTTATGTCTTGACATTAATGAATGATGAGAATGGTCTATTAGACAATATTTTAACGTGATCAATGTATTTAATGAGTTGTTAAGGCTTTTTAATAATTTTATTTATGATTTATGGCATGAATGGATCTAGAGGTGAGCACCCGAGTACCTCATTCGTCGCGTCACCATTGAGAAATTTAAAAAGGTTAAGTAAGACGTTTATGTAAGTACACTCTCACCTGCGACATGATTTGAATAATTGAGAAGTATATGATTTCGATGCTTATGATGATGTTATGACGCTTTTAATAATTCTCTTATGATGACGTTTTGAAGAAAAATGTATATATGTATTTTTATGTTTTTAAAATGACATTGTACACCTTTGATGGTGACCGGTGAGCGGTCTTTATCCAGTGAGTCGATTTATTGTCACGGTTGGTATGAAACCCACACTTTCTGTGGCTGGCGCGCTATGATGGTACAACGTCGGGCCCATTATATGATGAATTTTAAAGTAAAAACATGTTAAAAAATAATTGTTCTCACGATGACGTTTATTGTTGATGAATAAAAATGTTCATTTACGTTTGTGAGATTTAAGTGTCTTACTAAGCCCTTGCTTATATAAGTTATTTCATGTTGCAGATGAACTAAAGGGTAAGATGTAGCCATGGAGAATCTTGGAGCGGATGCGAGCTATGCGTAATAGAAAAATTGGAGAAACGATTATGGAATGAAACTGCTTAATTTTAAATAAAGTTTTAAATTTTTATTTTTATTATTTTGGAACTTTGGTTTATGGTGATTTTGATTTGACGAATACTTTAGATGTTTCTTTAAGTTTATTTCACAATATGAATTTAATAATTAAGTTGAACCTAAAGGTTATTTTTCTTGAGGAAGTTTAAAACTTTTAAAGTTATAATATAAAAAAATTCTAAGATTTCTTTTAAGTCATTCAAAGTAAAGTGTTTCAAGCTTAACTATTTTCTCCTTTCTTTAACAAGTAAATATTTAAAAGTTAAGACAACTATGATGGCCCGTGAGGGGTCGTTAGTGTAACGCCACTAAATGGAGACAAAGCTCCAATATATAAGCCATTGAAGCGAATTCGGCCACCATGAGTAGAATAACCATAAAACACAATGCTACACTAAATTGAAACCGCAGTGGAGAGAGCAACCATTCGCCAGTGCATGAGATCCATGCTTCACTACTGCTTGCCGCCAAATAAAACATGCCACACACCTAAATTTTCACAACTCCATATGAATCCCCTAAGAAACAGATCCACTCAAGTGCCCGCATGCTTCTCGCCGACGTACACAATCAGAATTCCGTCCGTGACGCTGAGCAACCATCCACTTTTGCCTCCGATCCTCAAAATCGTCTTCATGAAAATGAAAAAGCCCTGACTCTTGATGGTACAGAACCTCCAGACCACAGTCTGGCTTAGAGTTGTCAAACGTGCTGTGTCGGGCCGGCATGACACGTCTGACCCCAGGCCCGTGGCGGGCCTAGGCTGTGCCATGGCCGGGCCTGAGGAGAAACTCTCAAGTCCGAAACTGGCCCGCAGCCCTAGTCCATAAGGGCCGGGCCTAGGCCCAGGCCCTTGTAAATTTTTTTGCAAAATTTAATTAAAAAAATAAAATATATCATATGCCCCCAAAAGAAATGATTTTATTGAATTGAGATACTACAAATAAGTACACATAAATGACTGTCTCGCTAAAAACCTTGCCAAGTAAAATTCGTGGGGAGATCGGGACAAAACCTTAGCAAAGGAAAAAAGAGTGCAGTATTCTAGGATAAGTAAATTACAAAACCTAAGTGCTTCAAGAAGATTATGTTATTTATAAGTTAGAAAAATAGTATTGCATTGAATCATCCGTATGTTGTTATTTTCGTCTTTTGGCATCTTCCCAGTCTTTAACGAACATTAGCCCCTCTAAGAATTCTGGATGCATTTTGCTTCTCTTCTCATCAAGAATTTGGTTGCTTGCACTAAATGCTTGCTCTAATGCTACCATTGACACTGGAGTTGTCAGAATGTCACGAACTATTACGGACAGTGTTAGAAAACGATCGGTCTTGCTCTTCCACCACTGTAAGATGTCCAGTTTGTCGTCATCAATTACAAACTAGAGATTGTCTCATTGTATAAAACACTTTCATGCAATCAGAATGAATTGTGTTTCTACTTACCCGTTTAAATTGCAGGCAGAAAGTCGCCTGTATGAATTCTTCAAACAACGCATCATCTGCATAAGAAAGAGGTAATTCGGCACTAGCTAGAAATTTAGCTAGTGCCTAACGAGCACGTTGTGCATCATATGTAAAATTTTACAACCCTTGTGATGTGAGTGATAGTGTTTATTGGCAGGAGTCCACACTGCCACCTTAGTGCAATGATAGACATTCTTTTCAATGTCTATCTAGATGACCAATACCCCCACCTTTTTATTAGAAAAGTACTTTTTACAAAGCTTACATACCACACGAATTTTTATTTCACCTGTTTTTGGATTTGGTCGGGGCTTCTCTGTGAAATGCTGCCATGCAGGAGAAGTTTGTGGTCTTTTTCCCCTGCTGCGTTCTCTAACTTTCTCGTTGTACACTGAAGCATTATCAAACGGAGCATTTTTCGGTTCAGTAGGGGTAGGGTTAGGAGACATCATTTCATCCTCAAAAAATGGCTCATCACCAAGCTCAATAAGAGCAGTGAAATCAGGGAAGTTTGATACGGTCATTTTTCTGAAAATTGATTGAACTTAAACTTTGTAAATGAAAGAGCAAGAAAATGAGTGATCGCGAAAGAAAAGCTTAGAATCAAAATCAAAGAGACAAGATGAGAGATAAAATGAGAGTGTGATGAGAAGTTGAGAGTAAATTGTTGTATGGGATTTAGGGTGAAATTAAAGAGTATTTATAGGAGATTTTGTGGACTTTTTTTGGATTGTGACCGTTGGGCCCTTCGAGGGCCTGGGCCGAGCCGAATCTGGGCTTGGGCTGAACTGGGCTTGGGCCGAACTGGGCTTGGGCCGGGCTTAGGCCGCAGGCCTTCACAGGCTTGGGCTGCGGGCTGAGAAGCCGTGACCCAACCCTAGCCCATCAAATATGTCAGGCTGACACGGCCCGTAACAGTACCAGACCATACAGAATCTGAAACTATTATGGGTTGGGCCGGGCCGTACATGGACAAGCTGGCCCATTTGACAACTCTTGTATGGCTGAGAATAACATTTCCTCACGTGATTTATGCCTTTTCTTCCTACTACAATCTGTTTGGCTGAGAATAACATTGTCCGGCTTAGCATAGAACTTCTACGGAGCATTGATATTCCTCGCAGTCAAACAACCCCGCTGCCAAAAAAAAAAAAAAAAAAAAAAACGAAACTCAAAAAAAAAAAAAAAAAAAAAAACGAAACTCAAAAAAAAAAAAAAAAAAAAAAACGAAACTCAAAAAAAAAAAAAAAAAAAAAAACGAAACTCAAAAAAAAAAAAAAAAAAAAAAACGAAACTCAAAAAAAAAAAAAAAAAAAAAAACGAAACTCAAAAAAAAAAAAAAAAAAGAAGAACCCCCTCTTACTTTCTTCTGAAAGAACCCGCCGAAACTCTGCAATGAAACGTTCTCAATTCAAAACCCTAAAAGGCTTCAACCTTTCTGTCCAATGTCGGATCCACACGCGTGGACCTGCCACACGTGCGGCAATGCGGGGTTTGCGGACGGCTTCGACGGCTTCTATTACTGCCTCCGCTGCGGCTCCCAGGCGGAGGACATCATCGAAACCGGCGTCGCCGACGAGGACTTCGCCGACAAGGGCGGGACCGCCGGCGCTCCCCTCTACTCCGCAACCCACCGCCGAAACCGCCCCGTTGCTGCCTCCGCCATAAAAGCCGAGCCAATCTCCCAAGTGCAGTCCGCTACGCTCCAGTCCCAATTCTGGGCCGCTTTAACCCTCGACGACGACGGAGAGGGCGAAGGCGGCGATCGCTTCAATCGGGCGAGTATCAAGACGGAGGAGATTGAATTCGACGGCGTGGGACCCACGGGCCCGCGGGATTTCGGCTCGGTCGGGGAGAGCGTCCCGAGCTTCGAGGAGTATTACAGCGATATAAGGATTAGGTATGTGATGGGATTACAGCTGATGATCGAGTTCCAGTGCGAGGCTCTGGTCAGGGAGTTCAAGGTGAACCCGTTGATCTGCGGGTTGGCCGGGACCGTTTGGTTGCGATTCGTTGCGGGAACTAGGGTTTTCGATGACGGCTGGGTTGATGAATCCATTAACGAGTCCGAGAGTCAGCAACAAGGTTAGTTTCAGATTCAAGTTTTAACTTTTATTAGTTCTATGTATTCTGAAAAGCAAATACTTATGAATGGACTAAAGCAGCATCCAGTTTTACTCATTTTCTAGTATGAATATGTCAATTTAAGTTAACAATGACAACCCATGTTTTTATCCTTTTTTCCCTCTTTTTTCGGTTATTGTGTTTGATTCTTGGAATCGGTTCTGTTTCTTTGCTATGTTAGTTATATATGAGGATGAATATTTGCATTGCGTCATAACTTATTCTGTTATTCTAAACAATAGTTGATGGAAGAGAGATTGTTTTGAAATCGAAGTATGGATCCAGGCGTTGAAGATATAGGACCTAAACGAACATTATGATTTTAAAGCTTTTGTTGCGTGATTTTCAAATTCGATCTTATTTCTAATTTCGATTCAGATAAATGGGAGCAACACTAGATAAGTTGACTGTCAAATTCAGATACTTCTTTGTTTCTTTATTATGTTGATTATAAAAGAGTAAATAAGATAGTTGAATCCTATCATAATTTGGTTGCTTCTTTTCTGTTTCTGTACTTCTTTGTTTCTTTATTATGTTGATTATGAAGAGTAAATAAGAGAGTTGAATTCTATCATAATTTGGCTGCTTCTTTTCTGTTTCTGTTGTTAGATGGCAATTCTGTTTCGTGTTCACAAAGCTCCATGCTTCTTGTGTCGTGAGATTTATTGCTTAATGAGGTTTTTTTTTGGATCTTTTTAAACATCTTTCCCGTACGTGAAACAAAAGGATATCATGTGTTATCTTCTTCATTCTGGTGGTCGTTCTTCTTTGACTATATTCTTAATTAATGAGTTCTGGTTATTTTAGGAGAACCACCACAAGATTTCAAGCCACGAGCTAAATATGGTTCAGAACCTCACAATATGTATGGTCAGAGAGCAGTAATGATATGGTTTAGATCATTAAGAAAGAAGATTCCGCTATCTTATACTTTAGGAGTTTCATTTCTGGCTTGTCATCTTGCCAGGGAACCGGTCCTAACAACGGATATTGTAAAATGGTCACTGGAAGGGAAAGTTCCGTACTTTGCTGCTTTTGTTGAAATTGAAAAGCACATGGGACAAAGATCTAGCGGTTGTCCAATAAGTACAACTCTTATGTTTAGGCCAAATGAATCTGTTACGGCACAGAAGCTAGAATCACTCTCTGCATCCATTGCCGACTCTGTAGGTTTGGCTTTACCTCCTGTGAACTTCTATTCGATTGCTTCACGCTATCTTCGGGAGTTATCTATTCCTTTGGAAAAGATTCTTCCTCATGCACGCCGAATGTATGAGTGGTCAATGCCTCCAGATTTATGGTTGTCAACAAATGAACTGAGGCTTCCTACTCGTGTTTGTGTAATGTCAATGCTGATTGTTGCAATAAGAATTCTATACAACATTCATGGTTTTGGAGAATGGGAGAAGAGTTTGTGTAGGCGTCACACTTGTTCCACATCTAAGGGGACAGAAGACTCAGAACTCAAACCTGATCTTGACGTGAAAGAATGTGCTGGGAAGGGTTCTGGTTCTCCTCAAATTTTAGATGATTCTGGAACAAACCCGGGTAGAGACACATCACATGCTCAGAAAACTGAGTTGGATGCTGCAAAGCTTTTATGCGATCTTGAAGCAAGATATCGTGGGATTAATGAAACCTATGGTAAATATGTTTTTATTTTATAATTCTTATTCTTTACTTTGAGGAGGATATTGCTTTTGGGTTTCTTCCTTTTCTTATCTTCCCCACCTTCCACTTTTAGCTTGACAGTTTAAAATTTTAATATTTTGTTTCACCTTGATAGAATACTCCAAGGACTTGCCATCATATCTTCAATTCTGCAAGGATGTGGTCTTTGCTGGATTAGAACCATCCTTCGAGGATTACGAGGAAAAGAGACTAATAGAAGAATTATGGGACTTTTATTGGAGTGAAAGGGTAAGATATAACTTGAACACCAACATTGATGTTTTTTTTTTTTTTTTTCCTTATAGAACTTGTGCGTGTAATGTACGTTGATAAGTTTGAATTGCTTAAATCTGTCTAATTAGCTTAAAAGCACACTTTTGGATATGAATACTATTGAAGACCTTCTACTTGACAAGAAGTTTCCACGTTATGACAACACAGTTCCGTGATGACATTTTTGTTATAATTCAGGATTCCAAGACAGCAGTTCAAGAAGAAGCGCATGGTAGTGAAGCTGTTACGCAAAAGAGAGCTAGGGTTGATGTAGAGTGTAGAAGTTTCCCTTTCAAAGAGAACAAGAGGTTCAGGGATAAAGGGTGTGTTGGTGATCCGTCCCCGTATAATGGTAGTCGAAGTGCAGGTGATCAACATAGCGAAAACAGTGATCAGTTTGACAGTTCTCAGGATGATCAAATCTCAGAACAGAAGGACCAAACTTCAGCTGACAGTCTCAAAGATGAAACAGCAGATACTCTCAAAGATGAAACATCAGAGATTCTTAAAGATGAAGCCATTAGGCTATTGAAATCAGATTTTGAAGAAAACAGGTTCTATTACATCCCGCCGAGGGTCAACCCCAAGAGATTTGATTATCTTCATTATGCAAGGAAGAAAGATGAAGGCGCATTGACTTACGTTGCCCACGCGGATTACTACATATTGCTTCGTGCTTGTGCTAAGGCTGCCAAAATTGACATTCGGTTGATGCATATTGGGGTATTGAGTTTTGAGAGGAGGCTGGCTTGGATTGAACAAAGGATCAACCATTGCTTGCATTTGAAGCCTGCCACTGTTTTCTGTGAATTTTGTAACTATCTAGGAAATGCTTCAGTAGAGTCCCTTGGACTTTCGAATCTGAATATATGAGTTCTTTTGTTATTACTATTATTTATTTTTTTTAATCATTTTGATTTTTTTATATGGGTATTACTAGAGAATATCAAACAGAGGAGAGGGGAAAAGGAGGGAAAAAAAAAAGGATGCACGTCATGTGAATAGGAAAGAAAACATCAGGAGCTCTTAAACTCTTCAGGCTAGGGACCACTGTGAAAACTATTAGGATGTTTTATCAAGTTTTGGCTACAGAATAGTGTAATAATTAGTTCATTACTTAAGAAAATAAATTCAATTATAAGCTATTTGACAGAAACATTAGTGGTTTGATATTAAATTTATTTGATAGAAACGCTGGTTCTTTTTGATGTTATATTAAGAAATGTTTAAAATATGAAATATAGTAACTACCAAAAACCATCCAAGAAATGGTCTAAACTGCGGTTGAATACGTGGTCGATCCCATTATAATAAATGATCCGATCTAAGTAAGAATTTTTCCAAACCGCTAGAACTGTTTGTTCTGAAAAACCTGACCGTTTGAGATCGGACTAGACTGTGTGTAGCCCTTGTTTGTAAAGTTGTTAACCCGAGAGATTGTTGTTTGAAAAAGATGTTGTCGTTTTATGAGTTGTTGTTTTATCAGTTGTCGTTTTCTGTTGTTTTTAAGTTGTTGTCGTTTTGAAATTTTCATATAGTTGTTATTGTTCTTCAAAATGTTGTCGTTTGTATAACGCATCTTACCTTTTGCAATTATTGTTTTTGGAACTGCTGTATTTTAAAATATTCTTGACGTTCGTGAGATATGTTGTCCACTTTGAATTGTTGTCGTTTTATAATCTATTGTCGTTTTCTTGATAAGTAAGTTATCGTCTTCAAATCAAAATAATGTTCATGTATCTTTCCCGTATACGGTCTCATGTTTTGCCAGACTTATTGTCGTTCTTGTAAATCTCTAACGTTTTAAGATTTGCTGTCGTTTCTTGAAGTCATTTTTATGTTATTGTCGTTTTTATGATATTTTGTCGTTTTTAAGTAGTTGTCGTCTGTGACAGGATTTTGTATTTTTAACATGTTATTATTGGTTGTATGACAAATTTGTTCTTCCTTCTCGTTTTGTTTATTTCATTTTATTTCTTTATGGAAGGGTTCTAGAAACTAATGTGGTAAGATATGTATACAACGGGAAGGATATAAACGGCCGAGAGGCAGGTGGATCATTTGCGTTTTGCCAATGCCCTCTCTCTTGTGAGGTGCTAGCAAATTATTACGAGATCAGAGCATTTGTGTCCATGCTAATTTTTAAAGCCATTGTCGCGTTTTGATTTTTTGATTTTTCATTTTTTTTGTTTTGAGAATCCTTTTGAATTCGCTTTCATTTCACCAAAATCATTTCTTTTTGCCGTTCAAAAAAAAAATCTTATGCTTTTTGTAAGGGATGTCGTTTCTTAATTAAGCATTGTCGTTTAGAAGATATCTTGTCGCTCTTTAAAGTCAATGCTTATGCTGTTAGAGATATTGTTGCCTTAAAATATCCGTCGCATTTAGTGTTCTTATATTCTTTCTTTGTATTTTTTTTTTCCCTCCTCCGAATATACTCTTGGTTTGTTAGGACAAATGGCAAGTAAAGCAAGGAAAGGAGATCATGTTCTCCGCGTCCGGATATTATTTATTTATTCATTTATTTATTATATTTTAAAGGGACAAACCATTTTCATAATTTATCTATTTTTTTGCCAATTGTAGTATATAAATATATATATGTATATGTGTGTGTGTATCTATATATATTGTTCTTTGGTCCACCAACTTCAAAAAGAGGCCGCCACATAGAAAAGGGTAAGGATGTAAGGAGATATGAGAAGAGAATACGTGGCAATTCAGAATGTCGTTGCACAAAATAGTGATTTTTTTTTTTTTTTTGCTAATCAAAATAGTGATTATTTAATTGTGAAATTACACATTATATTCTTCTACCAAAATTTTGATCTATCAACTAATGCGTCTACTTTTTAGTCATACAATTTTTTTTACTTTTAAATGCGAGGATATATCTGACTCTAACCGATACTAGCTACATCATGAATTAATACTTAAAAAAAAAATCTCATTAAATAATTGGTGATCCTAACTTTACTCATTAAAATAAAAAACTAGATTACTGGCCTTTTTCTCTCTTATTTTACAAGGTTATCATTGGCAGGATCAGAGAAACAACACTTTGCCGCTTTAATTAGCCAACCAAATAAGGAAAGGTGGCAGTACTTTGGGCACATCTTTCATCACCTATCTTTAATTAACAAAAGCCTGCTTGCCTTAAAAGCTCCATGTCCAGAAAGATAATATACAATAATATTAGACAAATCTCATCACAAATTGATCTCGATAATAGTGGACGCCATAAGACCACACCAGAACATAACATTTCAAAATACTATACTAATCGAGGTTGATAATATTAGTCCATTTTTAGAAAGGGATCCCACATTAAAAATAAAAATAAAAAAGAAAAGAAAACCTATTTCGAATCCCATTCTTTATTATAGAATTTTTTTTTTTTTTTTTTTTTTGTGGGGTAGAATAGAGAAATTTTGCTGACATAATAGTAATGATAATAACTGATATATAATTGTGGGCGATAAGAAAAAGTCATTGATGTGGGCGTGCTTCAATGAAGGTGCACCAAACAAGAGCAGTGCCATTATCCCCAACATGACAAGATTTTGATATTTCTGCACAAGTAGGAATGCTCTATAAATGAATCGCGACAGATTTGCAGATGCCATATTTCAACAAGTTGCACCCAAAGTACTTATTACAAAACCTAATTAAATAATTCTTGAGCTGTGACAGAAAAAAAAAATTTAAGCAAAAAAAGGAAAAAAAAAAAAAAAGAGACACAAAATGAAATCATCATTGATTCATGCATGAAGATGAAAATGTAAGCATTATAATGAAAAGAAAGAGTAAAAGATCTATTTTTTTTCGTTTCAAATTCTAAAAGTTCACATTTTGAACCTCTCTAGGCAGTCAGTGGACATTAATCACAAGGTAACAGAGAGAAATCATGGAAGGTAAAAAAAGAAAAGAAAAAAAAAAGAAATTAACTTGTGTAACAATTAAGCATAGACTTTTTGTCTTATCTCTCTCTCTCTCTCTCTTGATTCATAGAGAAGAAGACGACCCATTAGCGAAAAAATTGAAATTAGCTTTTCTATGATCTTCTTCATCATCTTTCTCAATATCAGTAGTATCTTCTTCGTGAGGATTATGATGATTATCGTCAACATTAGTGCCATTATTAATAACATTACGGCTAATTAATAATCCTCTGTCTGCAGATGACGATGACGATCTCTTCCCAAGAGTGTGCTTGTTGTTGTGCATCCAAACCTTGAGAACCCCTTTACGAATACCAACCTCATTACAAAACTCCTCCACAACTTTTTCCTCGCTCCTCTGCATTTTCCACCCCAGTTTCTCGGCAAACAAACACATCTTCTCCTTCTGCTCCTGGCTGAACTTGGTCCTGAACCTCTTCCTTGCATTCGAAACATTAGTGATATTGCCGTTCTCCGCGCCGCTCATCTTGTGAGCCGTCGGATTCATCAAGTTCTGATATTGCTCATCGGACGGCCGAGATAAGCCGGAGCTGAGAGCCAGCAGTATCTGCGGCGGAGAAGCGAAGTAGGAGGAGGAGGAGTAGTTGGGCGGGAGGTGGGAAACCGACGGCGGAGAGTGTGGGCTGGGAGTTGGGCTTGGGGTCGGGGATGGGCCGGGGCTGGAGCTTCGGGCCGGGCTGAGGCTGGGGCTTGGGCTTGAGTTCCGGCGAAGAAGAAGCGGCGGCGGCGGCCGGGAGGGGAGGAGGTGGATGCCGGTGGTGACGTGGCGAGGGGGGTGGTATAAGTCTTCGGGGTGGCGGCGGTGGAAATTGCGGTGGCAGCCGCAGGCGGCGCATTTTAGCGAGGTGGGGTCGGAGAGGAGAGAGGAAGGGGAGGGCATGAACTCGCCGCAGCCGTCGAGGGCGTGGCCGCCGATGGTGGCGGCGTGGTTCTTGAGGCATTCGCGGTAGGAGTAGGAAACCACAATTTTTGGCGGTTGCTGGCGGTTGAAGGAGCCGTTAATGGCGGCGAAAGATAACGACTTTATGGGCTGAGGAAAGAGCGGTGGTTGTGGCGGCGGAGGTGGCGGCGGCGGCGGTGGGGTTTGGGAATCTGTATTTGGGGAAGTGTTGGTGGGTGTGGGGGATATTGGTGGTGATGATGATGATAAATCCATGGCTCGGACCATATGGTAATGGTAATAGTAGTGCTAGTACTACCTTAGTGTTTGTATTTGTTTGGGGGTGTGGGGGTTAGGGTTTTTTTTTTTCGATAATTTATTTTAATTTCATCTGGTGAAGAGGAGGTGGAGGAGAAGGCCTATTGTTTTGTGAGTGAAGATGAGATAATAAAATAAAATAAAATAAAAAGAAAGTCGACAATCATGATCATGATATGTATTATATATAGTTGATGTTGGAGCCTAATAATATATAAAATGATCAGAAGGGATATGACGAGTACATGAAGAGTAGTAATATATGATAGTGAAACAATGCTTATTCGCCAGACACACACACACACATATTTATATTTGTAACCATAGGTTTGAGGGTTCTTATGTGATGGATAAATTGTAATAATACTTAATACCGGCACATGACAAAATGAACGGTCAGATGAGCCTTATTGAGTGATATCTATGGAGATGGTGAATGATATGAGGACAAAAATAGAATATCAAGATTAGCTCATACGTTTAGCATTGACACAGAAAACACCAAAGAAAATCTCTTGTTTTGCGGGAGTATTATAATGGTGTTACGTATGTGATTCCATGTGTTAGTTATGACCAATACATTTTTATGGAGTATTTTTTTTTTTTTTTTTTTTAGCAAAGTGTGTAAAATAAGATATTAGTTGGGGTTAATAAAATGCATAGTACATCATTTCAAAAATAAAATAAAATAAAATGCATAGTACAAACAGGACATATTGGCCCTTTTCGCAACGTGGACTTCCACTGCAAAGAAATGCTCTATAATCCTGCAAGAGCCTAGAAGCCCAGCTACAATCTACATTGCATTCAGTTGAATTTCTTGCACTCTTACGCGCACTCATGTCTGCCCCCACTACTATTGAAGAACATTCTGTCATGCAATTTGCATTGGTTATAAAAAAAAAATGGAAAAAATTAAGTAATTTTTTAAGCAATTTAAGGTGATGGTTATAATCATGTCTTAGATTTAGATATTAAGAGCCCGTTTAGTTAGCTGATTTGAATTTTTAATTTGAGTTGGGATGTGACTTTATATGAGAGTTTTTTACTGTAGTAAAAATGTTAGACGTGTCTGTTTCTGAGAGCTTTTTACTGTAATAAAACTCAAATTTTAAACTCGAATCAGAGAAATGAACTAGACCTTAATATTTGCCAGATTTAGGATAATTTAGAATTCAAGTTCTAAACTTGGCGATTAAGTAGAATCATGTTCTCGATTTCTTTAATACATCGGTTTCTTTTCAAGTTCTAAACTTGGCGATTAAGTAGAATCATGTTCTCGATTTCTTTATTGGTTTCTTCTTACTTTAATACATCGGTTTCTTTTTACTTTAATACATCGGTTTCTTTTTACTTTAATACAATTAGAAATGATGCAATTTCAATATAACACATAAAAGTTTATGTAGTGCTTAAGAGAGGTTGGTTAACATTGACTTTTACACTCTTGACACATGATGGAAAAAAATTGACGACGACCTTTTGGTTAACTTGTCTTTTAGATATAAAACTAAGTACACAAAAAGTGGGAAAACAAATAATTAGCAAGAAAAAATAAAATAAATAAAAGATATAAAGGAAAACGTTAAATTGGGATTAGGGGGCCACCTTTAAAAAGAGGTAAAGAATGATTTTCATGCCACCTTCAATTATCATTTCTCTACGCTTTAACATTTTACAAATAAGCAATGAAATGAGACCACACACGCAACGTTTCGTTCCCTTTATTTTATTTTCTTTTCCTTTTGTTTTGATTAAATCTGTTTGCATATGCCACGTTTAAGGTCTAATTGTCAGTTTATGGATCAATATTTCATCTTGATTCAATGTTTTGGATGGCAAATCACATTTAAGAATCAAGATGAAATCATTAAGAGAATAAATACTTGCTTTGAGTGAAAGCTCGCATTTGACAGTGAGGTTTGCTTGTAAAATGATACAGATGTAGTAAAGAAAGACCATAATTGTACAACTGTTCTATAATTAAGATTGCTTTTAAGCACAAGGCAAAAGATTAGAGATTCATGCCGGTTATATGTTCGTTTTTAATTAATTAATTAATTATTTTATCACTTTATCACAATCTATTTCTACTAACATAAAGAAACCTAAAATCAGCTTAACTTGAGCAATATTTGTCAGGTTAATAAGACGTATGATTTCGGCCTCATCACGGATGATGAGAATTGATCCTTAAATACTAAATGAGAGAGTCTTCAATCTTAATAGATTGTCCCTCATTATGTCATCACTACCGGTTATATGCAGCACAAGATATGGGTATTAATGAAAAGAAACGAGGTTGCACTTTTTTGCCATCAACAATGTACATTTAGTAAACGTGAAAAAGTAATTTTTCTATCCTTAAATCTTGGAAGAAATATGTTAAATTAAACCATATATGCTAATTGCTAAATCGAAAACCTTGTACCAATTTGAATTTTGAGGTACACATCGACTTATTTTGAAATATTAATGAGTCATTTTGTTGAAAGAATTTAAATTCAGATTCATGGCTAAATTAATATTTTCTTACAAAAAATAAAAAAAGATTTGAACTTATTGATGTGACATTTAAATCTTTAAAATAAAAAATTTCTAAACTCACATTCCCGTTGAGTTCTTAAGATTTGAGCCCAATTTTAAACTTCACAATTTAAAACTCAAAAAAAATCTAAAGTTTAAACTCACCGTGATTACTCAAAAAAAAAATTTAAAATTTAAACCCACCGTGATTTGACTCTTTTACTAACGAATCCTAAAACATTTGCTTATTACCTTAATACAATATTTCATCAACCTGACATTGAAGAAGAGGAAAAACAGTAAATCGTTATCAGATTAATGAACTACAAATCTACTTCAAGACACATTTCAAACTTTCAAGGAAATTAAGCGTCACCTAATTGTGAATTTAATATTGTTTTGAGAATCATACCTATGTCTCTGCCCTTCTTGCTATCAAATTGAGGTAACCGTTTTTTTTTTTTTTTTTTTTGGGTTTGATAGAAAAATGAGTCCCTAAAACCACATACATTGACAAGACATTTATTGCCATAAATTCTATGCTGTGAATTGAAAGATGGGATCAACCAACTGTTGAAAAAAGCATGTGTGTTGTCTCACATCAAAAATAGATAAAAATATGAAATAATTTATATATAAATGAAAGGATTTAAGACTTAAAAGGTTAATTTTTTGAGTTAAGTTGAGTTTCTAAAGTGTGTTAGGTCAGTTTCACATGTTGTGTCTCATCAACAAGTGGTATTAGAGTCGATGGTTCTTTCAGGTAAAGCAATCACACTCGGTTACAGTTGCAAGCACGAATGGTAGAGCATTTGGTAGGCTCGTATGGTTTCGGCTCTCTTTCCCATGCTCGAGTTGGATCCCGTTAAAAGTGTGATGCTTGGACGTGTTGACTACTTAAAACTTTGGTTCGAGGGAGAGCTTGGTGAACACAGATATGAGGGAGAGATTGTTGAGAAAAATGTATGTGTGTGTTGTCTCACATAGAAAGTAGATAAAGATGTGAAATGATTTATATATATAGAATGACCTAAGACCTAATAAGTTAATTTTTTATGTCAAGTTTGACTCTTAAAGTGTGTTGCACTAATTTTGCATGTGGTGTATTCCCAACACAAACCCCAACTAAGTACACTCCAAGATGTGATACATTTTTATATCATATTTCAAATTTAGCCAAATTCTTAATCATGCATTATCTGAACCCAAAATTGTATACAGTAATATTAGTCTAATTAAAAATTCATAAGGGGTATTGAAATTCCCTTTCCCACGTTGATAAGACATGTTAAATCAGGTAATCCTTATAATCTAAGATATGAAGTATGAAAATTGCTGCGGGGTATTTGAAAGGACGTGATGACAAATTAATTAGTGCTTTACACTGATTGAATAAATAGACCACAGAATATGGCCTTAGCCGAGTTAGGAGTCAAAAGTCTCTCAATGGCCTAAAACAAAATGTTCTCTGACAATCATGTCATCTTCAAGAAGCACGCGCATTTGCAAAATGACGCAAAATCTAGCAAAAGAAAAAAATAATAATAAAAGGACACCAAATCTAATTAGATTCTACTTTTAATTAGATAGCTTTGTCGCATTAATGTTAGGTAATTCAACATTGTTAAATTGGTAGTTATCTGATTTATATATCCAATAATAAATCTTTAGCTAACTCAATTTATGTTTAAAAGATTAAACAATGATGTATATATATATATATATATATATATTTTTTAAGAAAAAACTAAAGGAGCAAGATGGGATTCAATTCAAAACGAGTAATATGTCGTTTATCAATTAGCTGAGGAAGTTATCATTAGCTTGTACTATTGAATAAAGGTACCCACTTCTTATTTGGTAGCATCTTTTAGATGCAACAGGATTGAGTAATGCCAATGTAATCTCTAGAAGTTGCTTCATTGGAATTAGCTTGGGATTTTAATGTTTGCAACGATTGTAATAAATAGCAGCTTTTCTTAACTAGGCAGAGATGTCTTTGGCTTTGCCGTTTTACACAAAAAAGAACCAGATTCCAATGTTCCACTGCTGCCCGGACAGAATGTGGGCCACCACGTCGGATCCACGGTGGTGCTAGTAAAACCGGATCTGGAAATATCATTTCTGTTTTATTGGCCAGCCAGGCAATTTAATCTAAGACGGTGAGAATAGAATGTGATGACACTGATAATGATATATATATATATTTTAGATTATTCTTTCTAGTACTTTAAATTTTAGATTCATTCTTAATTTACCTTTTAAATTTTAAAAACTTCCCATTTGTCTCTTGAATTTTGAGTTAATTTCACTTAATCTCTTTGATTAGAAATTTTACTAAAGAGATGAAAAAAAAAAGAAGATAGTGTGATTAATGTGGCCTTTTTCTTAGATTTTTGTTAAAAAGAAACGGAAAAAAAAATCACGTAACCATACTTAATTCCCTTATTTTCATCTTAATTTTAACTGAAATTATAACGAAATGAGTTATGCGTGATTAATTTAAAATTTAGAGAATAAAATGATAATTTTTAAAGTTTGAATATAAATTGAGAATGATCTCAAAATTCATGAACCACTAATGAGTATCCTATATTTTTTCACATGCAAAAAAAAAAGTGGGCCACATGAAAAAAAAAAAAAAAAACACAAGGCCCGTCAAATTGTCATCTGGTAGGAGATAGATAACATTAAGCACGGTTGTTATTATGGGTGGACAGCATCCACCTAAAAGCATTTATGTTCTTTCGTGCAACATTTCAGGTTACAAAAGATAAGACAAACGAGTGGAAGAAAACACAGAATAAAAATACTTTCACAACCAAATCCCCGCCGAAAGGAGCAAGCAAGAGATAAGCATTATCCCACCATTTTAGCGGAGGATGAATTTGCATGATTAATCATCCTTTCCATGATTTTGGTTTGTTAATTTTCTTTTATACCTGTCTCTTCTTTCGTTTTGTGTCACAATTCTCTCAAATCAACAAACAAATAGTCAAATTAAGAATTTGTCGTCTACTCTAGTCACACATTTGTCTATTTCTTAATTTGGATTACTTCTTATTGGATCGTTTTCAACGCAAATGTTAATACTAATTGTATATTTATCATCAAAAATTGTAATATAGTATGTTATTTTCATTTTTGTTTCAATGCATAATATTATTTAAAATGTTAAATCTATATTTTTCCATAATTAATAGCTTTAAAAGTTCTAAAAGTAAAATTTTATGCTTAAAATAATTAGAAAATGTAAAAGTTGTATTGATTATATGAAAAAGTAAACATTTCAACCAATAACAATCAAATGTTAAAATTCTCATATGCTGTATTTGGTGAGAAATTTGTCATAAATATAACATATGAGAAATTTAGCACAACAAATAGCATTGCATTAGAGAGTGCTTTTTTACACTAAAATATTAAATTTACAATTGACACATTAATTATAGCATTGTATTAGAGATGTTCTTAAAGAGCTAATCTTCAGTGTAATATTGTGAAACTTTAAATGTGTATATATATCCAAAGATTAAGCTCAGGAAAAAAAAAAAAAAAGTGGATTTTGAGATGAAAATATCAAGTTTCAGATTTACCGTCCCTAAAACAATACTAATCACATCTAAGAAAAAAAAAAAAAACGTTTGACAAAAAAAAATTATAATAATAATTTAACAATTTTTTATGATAGGCCTTACAAAAATGGACTATTAATAGTTTTTTTACTTTTTAGTTTTAGATTTATAAAAAATATAATGTGATTTTAACCGGATTTAACAGTTAAAAACTGAAAAGAGAAACTTTCTAATTTGACACAACAATCTAACATTCGTTATGATCCTTTGCAACTGTACTTGCAACTTTTAACCATATAGGCAGAACTTTTGTCATGGATGTTCATTATTGATTTATATATGTGTGTATATATTGCTAGTAAGAAAAGAGGATAAGTAATATTCTCACCCTTCCGCTTCTACCGTCATTTGACAATCTATTGGAACTGCAGATAGAATAGAAATGAACCTAACTCATAATTTTTGTGAACTAACATCCGAGAAGTTCAAAATCATATCAACTTAAATTATATTTAGATAGGTTGATAAGAAGCATATTTTCAACCCCGCAGTGAATAATGAGAATCTATCCTAGAATCAAATTATATTTAATCTAACCATTTCTTTAAAGATGAAACTTGTAGCATTTAGCTACTGTTCATCATCCAATCAAAAATAGACAAAACTAACTTGGCCAGTGCATAGGTCGTTTTGTTCACACCTGGACAAAACGGCAAGAACCATAATTAACGGAAGGTAAAAACATTGTTAATATCAGACACCCTCGATAGAAACTTATTTGGGCAATTAACAACTCAACAGCCCATAAACAGTCAACTGTCACTAAAACTACGCACTAAGCCACAAAACTAACGAAAATTAAGGGCAAATATTTTTATCTTAATAGGGTATTTATTAAGAATAAAGGATAAATGTCTAGATTTATACACTCTCAAAAATACATTCTCTATTTTTTTTTTTTTGAAAATTATTAAACTAATTAAGAAAATATTAGTTTGGTAACACCCAACCCAACTCTTCCTTGTGAGTTGTTGTGACGGTCTTGGACTCTATAAGTGCAAATTCAACCCAGCATTACCATGAGTGGGCCCAATAAATCCATTGTTTCCAGAGAAGTATTTGAAATGAAGTTACGACACTTTTTGATACTCGTATTCCATTCTATAACATATTTGGATTCTTTTTTTATTCTTCCTTTCAACTTCAAAATTGCTTTTTCGCTCAAGTTTTGAACATGATTCGGCACGAGTCACGACCATCACAAATATATGGTCAAATGGACAGAAATACCCTTTGAAGCGAGTTACAAAAGGGTATGTTTAGAGACAGAGCGGGCGGGACACAAATATAAAATTTTAGGATTTGCGGGTAACAATTTATAGAATTCGTTTTACGTATAAAACTGGAAGGAAAAGAAAAAAAAAAAAGAAAAAATTCCGCGTGGAGCCTACCTTTAGTTGTACGTGGCTTTACCTCTGGATATGTTTACTTAGCATGAACTAAAAAGAGTAAATTAAGAATGATAATTTAATTGCCTCCATCTAATATAAGGAATGAGGTTTGAGAAATGAGAATGTCAATTCTTGCACCTTTTAATATTTATTTCTCGTTGAAGGGAATAACTAATAAGTGTCAAATTTACTTATAAATTCAAAATGGATGGTTATTTAATTATGTAAAAAGACATTTTCATAATTGACAAGAATATCTACATACCAATATTTCATATGAAATCTGCTCAAAACTTCCAATGTTGCAAGTTTTTTCAAATTAATGTTATATCACAAGTTTTAAATTTTCAATATTTTATTTAGAGCCCTTGCACTCTTTGGAGATAAGAATAGAGTGATCAAACTTGTGGAAACAGTGAACAACTGTATGATTTTTTGTATTAATTTGGTATTTTTGAGTCATTATAAAGAGAGAGAGAAAACAAATGGATAACCATATAACATCTATTTGAAAAGTGGTGCCACTAAATTCTAAAACCATGAAAGAGAGATGCAGGCTTTCTTTTTAGAAAGATGCCATCAACTTTTGTAGCAATTTAGCTTGAAAATAAAGAAAAATAATTGGAAACATTAGAGTTTCTCTGGTTCTTTTCTTGTTGGCATGATTTAATTGTGGCCGTCAGTGCCAGTGTTACACCTCCCAAAACACCCTCAGAAAGAAGGTTCAGAAAATGACCAAAGGAAAAAGTGAGAGAAAAAAAGAAACAATTTGTTCTGTGCCATAACTATAATACGCTTTTATTTTTACATGTATAACTGACATATCACAATATGGGAACTTCAGTGAAAAATGTACCTATTAGTTGCGTTCTAACAGTTGAATCACATCGAAATTGCTTCGAAATAAAATAGTATATAATTTGACGAAATTTGATAAGAATATAACAGTATTTTTTTTTACCCTGCCGTATAATTTTCATATGAAATATTTTGCCTTCACATGGTTTGTATTGACTGAGCAAAGTGTTAAAAGTTGCGAAAAATTAACATGAAAGACAACAAGAGAATAGAAATAAGCTCACTGCACTTTAAATTTAAAAGAACTTTGAAAGAGTGGAGGATTACAAAAGAATTTCGCTATAATCCGCAAGAAACCGTAACACTAATGCAAACAGGAACAAAATGTTCTTCTTCCAAAATTTATAAAAACGGAAACAAAAAAAAAAAAAACGAAAACAAAAGAACTATATTTGATCGTCCCCGAAGGCCAAACCATAATCTGTGCAAACAGATTTATGATGATCTTGGCTTGAATTACACATGACTGGTTTAGTTGACACCTTTTGGCCGCTCTTGTTACTTATCTATACACATATCTCTCTATATAAAGAATAGCTTTGATCTTTGAAAGCTAAGAAGGAAGAAAACCAACCAGTACTCATCATGGAAGTTCACCAAGAAAGAAGAAACAATTCACCACTTTTTTTCTAGTTTCCCTTGCATTGCTCAAATCCTGCTCTACTGCTTCTAGTACTAGTCAAGACCTGTTGTGGATAGGATCAGAACCTCTCCCGACTTTTCTTTTGCTCGATCGATCAGGGTCGAACTTGTCATTTTGGCTGGACGATCTCTTCTTCGTGTTCATTCCGTCCATGTTGACAACCTTAAGAAAGCGGCGAATCTGAAGAAGTATCTGATTGTTTTCTTTGTGCTCTCCGAGGGCAGTGTCTATATTTCTCAGGCCAGAAACTTTATCCGGTTGAACTGATAGTAACCCGATACAAATGAGAAGAATGAGCACTCTATGAGTACTAAAAACCATGGTTTACTAATTAGAACAAAGAAGTAAGAAAATAAAATTACACTTGAACAAACAAAAGAAGAATGGGAAGTATCTTCTTCTTCTGTTTAGAGTAATGAGTAGAAATGAGGATGTTCTCTTGCTCTTTTATGTTTCAATCCTGTAGATATAAATAAGCAAGCCTGCTATTTAAGGCTAGTTGGATTGGGGAGAGAGGGGCTTTAAAAGGTAAAGCAGAGAGGGCCCCAAAGAGAAGAATTAAGAGGAAATTTATTTTAGATTCAGGCCAAATCATAAGCCTGCAATCTAAGCAAAAAAAAA